AAAGCCACAGTGTTCTGAAGCTGCAGTAATGGCTATGTTACAAATGGCTTAATAATTTTGCAGAAACAACTGAAACCCGTAACACAATTGCTTTCCTCCAGCATGGTGAGATAGAAATGAACAGTATCATTTCTGAGCTCTTCAGAACTAGATTTGGTCTATCAGTTTTGTTTGCAATGTGCCTGGCATATTGTACGCACAGCAAGAAACATATTGCTTTATTTGATAACTTGGCTAGTTTGAGTAATTGCATATAGCCAAACTTGTTTATTAAGCTACCCTGTGTGTTTACTAAGGAAAGGAAGATGTTGCACCCAGTAGAATAATTCCTTCTTATGATAAGGTCATTTGCACAGAAACAAAACAAATACTACATTGCAAATGCCAAGCCTATTTAAATCCATGCTGAAATTTGAATTTCTTTCAAAGTAGAAAAGAGTATTGAAACTGTGCTGCTTTTGAAGGACTGACTGCATTCACATTCACCCAGGAACTGCTCTTATTTGTTTTCGCACCAGCACCAGACCTATGAACATTTTGTTACTTCCACAGCAGTTTTATTCTCTTTCAAACTAAACTATACCATTCCATGCATGGACAAGAACAACTAACTCTTTATGCAAACATAAGGCTATAAAACCCATGATGCATTGTTACTGTATGAAATATGCATGGTTGAAAACATCTGAGGACTCTATAATTTTGAGCAAGGAGTTTACAATACTGTCAAGTACATCTGAGCAACAAGAATCAGCTGAAATCTGAAAAGCAAAAAAGATTCCCCCCACCCCAGAAATCCCTGCTTGGGGTTGGTAAAACCATTTTAAAAACAAAACTCTCCTCCAGATTCTGCACATATCTATGCAAAACTTCTCAAAGTGGGTTGAGAAGTGATCGATGATCTGATGTAGAGTAAGGCCATCCAATAATTGCTTTGGCACAGATTCGGTGTTCACTGTACCACACATCCTGCAATACTGAAAAGGTCATAAATCAGACCAAGTACTGTATGGTTCATTTTCTCTTTGGGACAATTCAGACATCGTGATAAACCACAGTTTATCAAGCTTTGTGTTTGCATGCTGCTTGGTATCCGATGTGTTCCTGAAAAGAAAATCTGAACCTTTTCACTTCCATTGTAGATTAACTACAGTTTAGCCTTACAATCAAACCCTAAACTGTAGAAAATCTTAACTATGGTTTGTTGAAACAATCTAGCTGCATAACTCATGGTTTGAAGTTGACTTGCTTCAAACAATCAACAGTTTATTGATTTAGATGAAATGACAAGCTGTGGTTAATCAAAAACAGGAGCTAAATCTCCTCTTTGGGGCTGTGGTGGAAGAGGGGAGGAGAGGCGTGAAAGGGCTAGACGCTTACTGTGGCTCATTCCCATCACAATAAAACATGGGTTACATGCATACATACATACATACATACATACATATATACATACTTACATTATTTTATTTGTATGCCACATTTCCACAGTTAAGACTGTGCTCTTTGTTTTCATGACTTTTGAACCATCTCTGTGTCATATGGTGTACGGTGTATTTCCGCTGATTTGTAACAATATAGTAATCATTCAGATGCAGTTTTCAGATAACAATTGCAGTTATCAATTTGCTATGCCTTTTGGAGGCAATCCTTTTGTGTTGATGCCCCTTTCCAATATTATACCTCAGGTATAGCCATCAATGGACTATCAAAGATTGGCTTGCCATGAAATTTGTTAACTATGAATGTGGCATCCTGATTGTCTCAGTGTATCACCAGATGTCTCTTTGAAATGAAGCACAGTAGTATTACAACTACCTCTCCTTTTTCATGAATTCATTGCTTCATTAATAATTTCACATTTTGGATCCACCGTGTAACAAGTTAAGGTGATGGTCTACTTTATTGCTGAAATAATGGTGACTCTGAACATGGTGAGATACAAATTAAAATGTTTCCGGTTCATATATCATTACATAGCCATGTTGACATTTGCAAAGCTTTTATATTTTATTTTATTTTTAAAATTTGCCTTGTCTTAAGATGGTTCTCCCTCCCCCCTCCACCACCTCCAACTCAGGCATAGTTTCATACTTGAAAGTTACATGAAAGAGACGGCGGAAGAAGAATGGAGAAAATTTAAAAGTTATCTTAAGGACTATTATAAACTTGATGAATGTTAGAATGTTATGGTTTTCAGAAACAAAGGGATACAGTGATATAAGGTCAGATTATGGAGATAACTAAGGACAGAGGTTGGAAAGTAATATTGGGAGTTGCTATAAAACTATGGACATTGGGATGCAGAAAGGGGGGGGTATGGGGGAGTCTGAGAAAAGAGGGTTATGAGAAACAATATGAAATTATGCGTGTTTGTATGGTTTTTTTTCTTTTTGTTTTTGTGGTTTTTTTTCTAAGTGTTTGTTTATTTTCAAAATTTTGTAAAACCAATAAAAAATTCTTTAAAAAAAAAAAAGAAAGTTACATGAAGCTTTACTAGGTGGCATGAATCAGTCAGCTGGGTGGCAAAAAAGAATATGACATGCTATCAAAAATCTTAACACCTACAGGCAATTCCGTAGACATAAATGAGAATATTAGCATAACATAACATCCAGCAAAAAGCTTTATATTTTAGTGTCTCAGAAACAAACACAAATGAAAGAAGAATATCTGTGTCAGTTTGTTTTAACTGTGTGTGTCTATGTGTATAATATTTATTCCATATGTATCTGCCTTTCTGAAAATAACCTGTTGTAACCTAATGAAGTTATGTGTACTAAGCCACTGAGACCATAATTCTGAAACCGCTTAGCACCAGTGCTGTCATCCAGTGAGCAGCAAATAAGTCTGCGGCTGCTTTTTCACTAAGTGATGCTGACAAATTCCTTTTTGTTCTAACACAGGGGAGATGAGTGTTTGGAACATCAGGATATGGCCAATGCGGCATTTTAGAAATCACTATTTTCAATCATTAGGAATGCCCAAAGAAGTGCAGTTGTCCAACTTGGTCATCTTGTGTGTGTGGTTTTCCATGTCTCTGTAAGCCCACTGGAGTGGTTCAGATGTAGCACCAAACCAGGGATGAGGAACCTGAGCTCTGAGGTATGAATGGGGCCCTTCTCTCTTTGACCCTTAGGATTCTTTCCAGGCCATGCCCCTTCTTCCTCAGACAACATCCCTCATCAGCCCTGCTGTGCACCCTCCTTGAAAGTTTTTCTTTTGTTTTCTTTCTTTTTTTTTGCCTGGCTGATGAGGCTTCTTTCTTACCTGGATGGAGGATAGAGAGGGATGTGCGAGTGTGTGCAGAAAGAAGCCTACTGTACAAAGGCCAAATTAGCATTGGTTGCTCTAACCACTTTTGCTTTTGGCTCCACCCATCACCAGTTACAAGGTTGCTGAGGAAGGAACCTGGTCCATGAGCTGAGAAAGATTCCCTACCTCTGCTCTACATCAACTATGGTTTGTTGAGTAAGGCTGCATGCACACTAAATATTTATAGCACATCTGGAACACATTCTTTCCCTCAAAGAATTCTGGGTACTGTAGTTTATTAAGGGTTCTTGTGAATTGTAACTCCGTGAGAGACAGACCAAGGTGGCCAGAATTCCTTGTGTGAAAGAATGTGTTTCGAACGTGTTTTAAGGGTATCCTGTGCACACAGCCTAAATCAAGACCAGGTTCACAAATGTTCAAGCAAGCCACTATTTATTTCACTTAATAAATGTTCTGTCCCCCCTCTCCACCTTCTCTGTGAATAGCTGGTTGCAATACTGACACTTTTTGTGGCCTCCAAGGTCTGTTACTACCAATTCTCATACCATTGGGGAGATGCAAAGACAGGCAGAGGCTAAGAGAGGAGCTAAAGAAATAATAGATATTTTAAATGGGGCATATTTTCTGAGGTTCTCTGGCAGCTCCTCTGTGTCATCGCACACCTTCCCAACCTGCAAAGAGGTCTCTTGTTCCCTTGCTTGTTGGTGTTGTGGAGGGAAACATACTGATTGCTGACCTGCTAGCTTGCATGAAGCAGACATTACTGCTACTCCAAACCATGCAAAGATGCCCAGCACTGCACCTGTAGCCTGCCCATTTAACTGATGAGCATCGATGTGAAGATCTTGTCAACTACGCTGGCAGGTAGATAGCCTACGAATTTTATTTAGCCTACCGGGGCTCAATAAAACTCCTGCCTTTGTTGCCCAGCTGCTTCAGAGAGCTGGTGTAGCATAGCAACAGAGACCTAGGGAAAATAAAAACACAATAGCTGCTTTGAGCTTTGCTTCTGCCACACAGCTCACTAGGCAACCCCAAGCAGGCCTCTTGGACTTAGCCCTTGACCTATGGTATGGGGATAATACTCCTCACCAGGTCACCTGCGTGAAGTACTTTTGTGCTGTGTAGGGGCTAAATGCTAACTTGGCTTTGCAAACACGGGGGAAGTGGGTTGTCAAGCACTTGCAAGGCCCTGATGCATGGCTACGTGGTCTGCAATTTTGGTATTCTAGTGTTGTCATGAAGCTTGAACAAAATAAGAATTAAAGACAGGTGCACCTGTGGAAAGGGAAAGGTAAAGGACCCCTGGACAGTTAACTCCAGTCAAACGCAACTATGGGGTTGCAGTGCTCATCTCACTTTCAGGCCAAGAGAGCTGGCATTTGCCCACAGACAGCATTCCAGGTCATGTGGCCAGCATGACTAAACACTTCTGGCACAACTGAACACAGAAATAGAAGCCAGAGCGCACAGAAACGCCGTTTACCTTCCAACCACAGCAATGCCTATTTATCTACTTGCACTGGTGTGCTTTCAAACTGCCAGGTTGGCAGGAGCTGGAACAGAGCAACAGGAACTCATTCCGTCGCAGGGATTCGAACCACCAACCTTCCAATCAGAAAGCCCAAGAGGCTCAGTGGTTTAGAGCACAGCACCACCTGCATCCAACTTGTGTGTACATTATACTGTAGCATTCTATAAAATGATGTGGGTGGGAACTGAGGTGTAAGGTAGTTTGTTTATTTTTCTTCTTCTTCTTCCTTACATTGACTACAGCATCACGTTTGTACCACAGTCAGAGAGTGGAACAAGAGGGCATGCATGAATGATGCCAGAGGAAAGCACTTTTGTGTGCAATCCTTCAGAGAAATTGTTCAAGAACACTTCATCCGTGGAACAGATTTCCTCTAATTCTTCAAGGTCGGTGTCTGCATGGGTTATCTGCCAAGTAATTGTCAGTCACTTATCCTGAAAAGGAGCGGGGTCATTTTAAAGATCAATAGAAAACACAAACATTTTGTGTCATTTTCTACTTTTCATACGACACTATTAGAAAATTGCTACTTTGACAAAACACATTAGGAAAATGTACTGTGCTGGCATTTTAACCACTGAGGGAGCTGAGTGGAAAGCAAAATCAGGTGGATGGCAGCAGACTATTTATGCCAACTGGAAAAAGCAAATTTGTTCCCTCCTGCAGAAATAAGTCCAGACTTGTGCGTTCTTTGGAGCTCCTTAAAACAATACATTTCAATGACAATAGAACAATCAGGAGCTTTGAACTGTCCACCAGTGGAGTTTCTCCTTTGTCTCCTCTTGACAAGAATGTTTTGTCCATTTATGTCCCCAAAGCTCAGGCTACCTCCATATTCCAGTGCACAAGATGTTATCAGGAGGGCTAAATAAGAAGTCCTGAAGAGGGTGGTGCCAGCTCTGAGTGAAAGAATAAGGAGAGGAGTTTCTCATATGTTGTCACTATGCTCTTAGCGCTCAATCGTTCATTCTGTTGTTACTTTCGTATTGGACTGAGCCTTTGACTATAGCTAGGCAGCTGTCCACACATGCTGAAAGAAAATAAACCATTTTTTAAAAAAAAATATTATAGGTATGTAAATTAACCCAATACAACTATGCTAAGCAATTGTGTTTATTTGTTTTGAAATTTTTTAGCCCATTCTTCATCAGTATTGATCCCAGGGCAGATTATAGAAAACAAAATATCAACAAAAGACAATGCAAACAAACAAAAGCAATTAAAAAGTAATTTAAATAACAGCCATAAGTGCACTCTGAAACAACCTCTAATACTGCAGCTGGCTCCATCCTTCCAGCACTGAACTAGCAGTACAATCCTCATCATTTCTATTCAGTTCTGTTGAATCCATTGCAACTTACTGCCAGGCAAGTCAGGACTGCGACCTTAGTTAGCCTCCTCACATATGCCTGGACAAATTGGTATATTTTAAGTTGGCACTGAAACAAACAAAACCCAAAGTAGGCACTAGGCACACCTCATAAATGGAGCACCATCCCAGAGAAGGCCCTCTCCTAGACATGTAGGATGCTTCCTCCTACTGAGTCAGACCACTGGTCCATCCAGCTCAGAATAGTTTATTTGGACTAGCAGCAGCCCTCTAGGATTTCAGGCTGGGTTCCCTCCCAGTCCTACCCAGAGATGCTGTGGACTGAACCTGAGACCGTCTGCATGCAAGCAGATGCTCTACCACTGAGCTACATAGGAGCCTTCCTCCTATGGCACTGCATAATGCCATATAATTTATTATGATGGAATATCAAGAAGAGCAATCTTTAGCATACATTATGGCTCAAGCAGAGACATCACCTTGCCAACAAAGGTCCGTATAGTAAAAGCTATGGTTTTCCCAGTAGTGATGTATGGAAGTGAGAGCTGGACCATAAAGAAGGCTGATCACCGAAGAATTGATGCTTTTGAATTATGGTGCTGGAGGAGACTCTTGAGAGTACCGTGGACTGCAAGAAGACCAAACCTCTCCATTCTTAAGGAAATCAGCCCTGAGTGCTCACTGGAAGGACAGGTCCTGAAGCTGAGGCTCCAATACTTTGGCCACCTCAAGAGAAGAGAAGACTCCCTGGAAAAGACCCTGATGCTGGGAGAGGTTGAGATCACAAGGAGAAGGGGACGACAGAGGAAGAGATGGTTGGACAGTGTTCTCGAAGCTACCAGCGTGAGTTTGACCAAACTGTGGGAGGCAGTGGAAGACAGAAGTGCCTGGCGTGCTCTGGTCCATGGGGTCACGAAGAGTCGGACACGACTAAACAACAACAACATGGCTCCAGTGCAGCCTCCATCGCTGAACAAGAGGCCCACCTTGGGGTTATCCTGTTCAGTGCCTTGTTCCACTACTGGATCTAGGTCTGGCGAAAGGTGATAAAGGGACATGGGCAGTCAACATTACATACTGGAAAGGTTGTCAGTGTGATCAACAAACTTTGTACAGGAAGCCTTCTGAAATCAGTAAATCATTCCCCCCCACCACACACACACAAAGGGTATTAACTTAACAAGAACCTCTTTGCTCCTCTATAGAAAGAACATGCTGGGTAAATATTTCATACAAGCAAGGTTTGCTGTGGTTGTCCCCTATCCCCATGGGAATTATTTAGCAGGACTCATTGTTTCTGTCTGGTTGCACAGATGTTGCAAGTGAGAGATGTGAGCTACTGGCCAGCTTCAGGCTCAAGAGACACTTACCTAGACAAGGCAATAAAAATTACGCGGCAAAAAAAAAAAGAATTTGCAATTAAATGGCAATGTTCATGTAGAAGAAATAGCAAAACTTCATGAATTAAGCAAGTTTGTATTATTTTTAGTGCTATGATTATGTAAAATTATGCAGCCTTTTCATTATATTTTCTGTGGTGAATATTTTATTTCATCTACAACTGGGGAATGCCTCGAATTCTCTAGCATGGACATTGTTTCAGATTACATAGTGAATTATGTTGATTACTGACAGCTCAAGTCAGATTCCCCAATTCTGAAAACAAATCTTTCTCACAAGGGAAAGAGGTACGCTCCATAAGGACTGTTGCCACATGTTTTCCACCCGTTCCAGTGGGAATTATGTTGAGTATATGTAATCCTAGTTCTTAGTGGATTGTGCTCTGGAATATTAAGGATGCTGCTTGGCAGTTTTCATTCCTTAACACATTTCCATATCAATAGCCTTCCTATCTCAAACAAGATTTTGGAATTCAGAATCCTCTAATAATTCCATTCCCAGTCTCCTAATACTGTACCTTATTATGGTTATCAACAAATTCTACCAACAAAGCTTCGTGTAAATTTCAGCCAATTCTAAATTATCACATCTCTAGTCTATGATGAGCAAATGGAAATACAATTTCAATCAATGGAAGATTATCTGGTACGGCAGAAAAATAAATAAATAAATATAAATGATCAATGGCCATATAACTTCATTTGACAATATATGACTTGTACAAAACTCTGGAGCAGATTATTTGAGGCAGGAGCTGAATGAGATAAAGTGTATTGCCAAATATTACTTCACTCCATGTTCCACTGACAGCAGTCTTATTATCAGTAGAGTAACCTATGGATTTCTTGTATTTATCTTGTCTAACTTGTTGCAAGTCAGAGGGAAATGTAGCAAGCTAGCAATGCTCAGTTGGTTAGAGTGTGGTGCTGATAACGCCAAGGTTGCAGGTTCGATCCCCCTATCGGATAGCTGTATATTCCTACATTGCAGGGAGTTGGGCTAGATGATCCTCAGGATCCCTTACAACTCTACAATTCTGTGATTCTATGATTTGATTCTATTATAGTTTGATACTTCTGTCTTGCTTATACAATGTGCTTCAGTTAGTACTTTTTGAACGCTTTTGATGCATGTTTTTCTTCTTTTAAATGTGTCTGAATAGGAAGGATTTGTAAGGCAGCTGATGTTTCTCCAAAGCAATGGGAAACACCAAAAGAATGGCAAACTGTAGAGAAACACAACATTTTCATAGAGAGAACAGGATATGTTTGGGACAGGCTACAGAGCATCCCATCTTCTTGGCCGAGTTGAAAATAAAAACTTTCTACATTTTCTTGCACATTACCAACAAAGGCATGCCATCCTAAGCTTCTTTGGGAAGAAGGATGGGATGTAAATATAAACTGAATCATCATCCAAATGATAGGACAGCAAGGTCTTACAGAATCCTATTGTTATGCATCAGGCACGATAGATTTATTGTTCTACCTAGTGAGCAAAAAAAGATAAGATACACCATATGGCCTCTCACAAATAAAGCGTCTTTAAAAAAAAGAACTTCAGAAGAAAAGTAAGTATGCAAGTCACTTTTATAGCAAGATCTTCAGAGTGCATTTATTCCACGGATAGATGAAAAGGTAAATCTAGGATTTAATGGGCATCCTTATTCAGAACAACAGTGTCATCCCTCGTTCTGCTCCGGTTAAAATTGTCTTTCTGAGTCCATGTACAATTAATGATTAACTTCCATTATAGTTGCTCACCAACACTGTGTTGGGATGAAGTTTTGTCTCTCAATCACTTAGTCAAGGGAAGTTAGTAGATGCCTCTAAAGAAATTGAGAGGTAGCTGGAATGTAATCTATTGTGGCAATGCAATATTTGGATGTGGGAAACAAGGTTCAATCCCAATTCAGCTATTTGCTCACTGAACAAGCCACTCTCTCTAAGCCTGAACTAGCTCACAGAGTTGTCATGGGGCTAAAATGCTGCTCTAGATTCCATGAAGTTAAATACAACAGACTGAAATGCTATGCACATTTTCCTTAGAGTAGGTCCTACATTACACATATTAATAAGTTGGTTTGTTTTTTTTTTGGTGTTTTTTTTTGATGTAGGTATGTTCTATGTCCTGTCTGTTCTTCATTCATGAGAGTCCTGTAATGCCCCCAGTCAAATTTCTATATCTCTGTACCTCTATTACTTTTCTTTATAAAGTGCCTTTACCTTTCTACAATATAGTCATTCAATGTATACCTGTCTTTAATGCCTTCAGTGTAACATGAATCCATTGTAAATGGTGTGAGTGAGTTTCATTTGGGGTGGGGAAGCAACTATACAACCACAGCAGCAGCAGCAACAACAACAACAACAATAAAGGAATTCCAGGTTGCCTGCTATCTATATTAAAAACTCATGCAACCAGAAGAACTACATTTCCCAGTGTCCATGGGACCCTGCTTGTTCAGTACTGAAGATACCAAGGACCAATAAAGGCCTTTTAGAGAGCATTCCCTGCAGTTGCTACCAAGGAAGTTTCAATGAAGGAATTGTTACTGTACTTTGATCCTATGCTGTCATATTAGCATATTGTACACTTGAGTAAAATTATTCCCACTGCAGATGTTTTAGCATAAATGACTATTAAACCCTCACTCAATCAATTGTTGGTAGGGAGCCTCATATTTGTGCAGCTCAAGGTCCCCCGTGATTCAAATGATCCTACACTGCAATCCTCTTAAAGGCTGTACAAGACCCTCACATACAAAAAGGAAGGGTAATAAATTCTAAGAAAAAGTTCTATGCTACACTCAAAAGTTAGAGCACAAAATTGCACAGAAGAGGCTTATTAAAAGTTACAACATATTATTAAAATACCCTTTGAAATATAAAGCATAAATTAAATACAATGTTCCATTTTTGTGTCTCCATAATATTTCCCTTATTTCCAATTTGTTATCTATTGCCGAGCACTGTACAGTTGTGTATTTCACAGATTTTCATTAAGGTGATGTTCACTGCTGGGGCTGCATTTTACCAATGGATGTTGAAAGTTGTATATTGACAATTTTCCCGGTATGTGTTTGTAAAGTGATATATGTGCATTTAATTACTTCTGCATTGCTAGAGACCTGAACTGAATACCTTAAGCTCTTTCAGTCTGAATATCTTGCACCAATATGCACATTGCATTTAACAGGTGCTTCATATTTCAAAATATATTTTAACAGTGTATTATTACTTTAAATAAATCTGCTTTGTGCCATTTTGTAGCCTAACTCCCTGGGTACAGGGTCCTCT